GAATATATATCAAACCCTAAACCTAAAACCAGAGCTCTCACACAACTTTTCTCTCTAAAATGTCTAACCTAGAGCCAAGAGAGGAAGGCTCCTCTTATAGAGGAGCCAATCTTGTAAAGCTTACAAGGTAAGCTAACAAGGAAGTCATCCCTCCATACACGTGTATGGAGGGAAACAAAATGCCATACAGCTGTATTAAAATATCTGCAAAAGCAGATGAACAGTAGTCGGCTGCTCAAAAATGCCATTTTGACAAAATTGACTGCCGACCGGTAAGAAAGAATGCCGACCGGCAATATACATTGCCGATGGCAACAAAATACCAGCCGGTGGCCCATGGCCATGGCCGGTGATGTGTGGGGATGCCTCACAAAGCATTTCCTGCCCCTCCAAGGCAAAACACAAGTGTTAGGTGCAAAACCAAACACTAAACAGTCGAGTTCGGAGATCCTGAGGCAGGGCGCGTAGCCGAGACCTCCGGGAACTCCAAACGAACACAAACATGGATAATCACCAAGTGTTCCAATGGTGACGTCCAAGTCTTGAGGACGGTCAAAAATGGGGTGTCTACAGCTAGCCACCACATGAAAGAATCATGTATTTTTGTCCCCCTCTTGAGCCCATTTCAGCCTAGATTTCTGATGCCACAACCATTCTAACCTTCTACTATAATTCCAAACTAGAGATCTCAACTCGCGTCTTCTATCAATAACAGTCTCCAGGAATGGCCCATCTTTAGCTAGCAAATCAATCTCATGTAATTCCTCTTCGGCTACTTTTAACTGGTGCTCCACATTGCCGAACACATCCACATTCCATTTCTTGAGATCTAACTTAAGCTTGGCCAACTTACCTTTCAACCTATACCCTGCCCACCCAAGAGCATTGGTCTCTTCCCAAGACTTCTTAACCACTGACTTAAAATCAGGATGAAGAAATCAGGCATTTATAAACCTAAATGGCCTAGGTCCCCAATTCCTAACATCTTCCATGAGCAATAAAGGACAATGATCAAACACACTTCTTGGCAATCCCCATTGCTTAAGCCAAAAAACCTCCAACCACTCCGGATCCACCACAAACCGATCAATCCTACTCCATCTCTCGCCTTCAACAGAGTTGCACTAGGTGAACCTCCTTCCTAACAGAGGCAGATCACATAACTCCATTTTTCCTAAAAACTCATTAAATTCAAACATACCTCTGTCACACCGCAAACAACCTTTCTCTCACCCATGCTTCTAACTTCATTAAAATCCCCTCCAATGCACTAAGGTTGTTGGAAAGATAGCTTCAACCTAAGTAAAACTTCCCATAACTAACCCCTTTGCCTACTATCATTCGGTGCACATATGTTGACTACCACACACCCAAATGACTGATTATATGTACCTGACAATAGAATGAAAGACCTTACACTGCAACACTCAGCAAGGTTAAATACCCCTGGGTTCCAATCACATAATAAACCCCCAGCACTCCCCTCCGAATCCACAGCCATAAACCGCAAAGACTCCCAGGGCCACATAGACTTCACAAAACTACCATCCACGCTACTCCTCTTGGACTCCTGCAATAAGAGAATATCAATCTTCCTCTCTTGGACCAGCTTCTTAATCTTCACCCTTTTGTTTTTTTCTCCCCAAACCACTAATATTCCAAGACATCACCTTCATAATCATAACAAAAACCCCAAAAAACCCCTTTCGGATACCCATTCAAACTGGGACATCCCTTCCATTATCTCCCACCTAGCCTAGATCCTTAGCTTCCATCTCCATAATACGATTTATGATCTCCTTCTCCTTACCCATACAGTTCATCCCCAACATCTTGCCCACCTGCACCGTAGCTCAAGCTTCCTTGAACAACGAATTCCTCCAAACAACCTCAACCTTCTGAGAAGAGGAGACCGACAATGCAGTAGTTGCAGCTCGGAAAACAGCTCCTCTCAAAAAGCTACAAGAAATACCCGAGCTAAACCTTTTCCTCCTCAGAACACCCTTACTCACTGCTGATCTTTGCCTAATCTTACTACTCTCCACCCTACCTTGTTTACCCTTATCCTTCCTAAATCCAGCCTGTGAAGCAACTAATTTGCAACCAGGCCCAATAGAATTAAAAGAGTTGCCCTTTACAGTTGAGTCAACCCCTTTGCTACCCATTACCTCCCCCATGGGCCTCTTTCAACACAACCTCCAAATTTATATTGGGCATATCCTTCTCCAGCCCACTAATACTTCTTAAAAAGCCCTGGGTCACTACCTCCTCATCCACCCTCTGTGATCTACCCGTTTCCTCAACCCACAACTCCTTCACTTCTCCCACTACCGCCCTACTGAATCAACCTTCCTCACAAACTTTTCTCATCCCTAACACAGGCTCATTAGTTGTATAATGCAGCAAACCGTCATTACAAATGCCCACAGCAGGCAGAACACCATTAATGTTTACCACTTCATTGGCATGCTCTGATACCTGCACCAAATCTTTGTTAACCACCTGTCCCTGTGGCTCCACCTTAGCAATTGTGTTTGCCTCCTCTCTCACCTCACCTACTGATGCTGCACCACCATTAACAAAGGACTTATCAAGCTCAGCAATGGCGTCAACCTTAACATCTTCACTTTTACTGCTACTACTGATACCACTATTTAGAGTCTCCAAAGCCTCACATACCCTAACAAGGTACAGCAGACCATTATGGTTCAACTGAATCAACCTATTAATATATTCCAAGGACTTTGTAATAATTTTAACTTTCCCACGCTGAAAAGATCTCATTCTACTTGTGTCCTCATCAACCTGCACTACCTCACCCCAGACATTACCGATTCTTGTAAAAGTATTCACACTCCATAGATTGAACGGAACACCAAAACAGACAATCCAAACACATCTCTCTAGTTCCTCAATAACCCCTTGTCTCCCCTCCATCACAGTCTCGCACCAATCATAAATCCACTTCTTCAGACTGCCAACACCTCCTTTAAAGCTTGTTTTGAATTAAACGTCAGTATTACTAACTTACCTCCCCCTTCACGAACAAGAACATTCTTCAACCCTTTGCTACTAATCTCCTCTTTCAAATCTGAGAATGAAAAGCAAGCTTTTAGCTTAACAAACACGCTCTCGTATATCCAACCGTTTCCTTTTTCTTTTGTGACGACCATGATCACATCTGACCTTTGTCCCACTCCTTTAACCACTACTTCAGCAAAGGTTCACTGATCCCTCCTCGCTTCCCTGCTCTGCAACTGAAACTGCTCCACTCCTTTCACCATAGCCGTATTAGCTTCCATCATCCATTGCAGCTTTTGTGAAAAGCCATTTGCCTTATCATACTGCACCTTACCCCCTTGCTCTTCCTTAGCAAACTCTGTTTTCTTAACTTTTAATCTAGCATCATTACACTATAGCCCATTCGCCTTTTGAACTACAACACCTGCCGCAATCAGACAATCAAATCGAACGAAACCGAATCTTGAACCCGTCGATTTCCTCCTCTTCATAGGAGTAAAGACATCCTTGACCACTCCAAAGTTACTAAACATATTGAACAGATTCTTCGAGCTCATGGATGCGGGAATATCATCAATAAACAACGTAACTAAACCTAACTCCACTGGTGGTCCACCTAGTTTTCGTCCCCAGTTTTTCCTCACCACTGGTTTCCATTCTCCGTCCATCTCCTCATAAAATTTTATCTTATTAACTATTTTTATCATTTTCATCTTTATTAACTATTTTAGACAATTATTATTTCCAAACAAAGCCTATTGTTTTAACAAATAATAACCACAATACACCAAGTCCGATGTTATTTGACCAAGATATTTACATTTAGCTAGCTGTTTTACTAAGTCCCTTGAATTTGACTTGCTAGGCCTCGTTTGAAAAATGGAAAATGGCAATTATTCATGACAGCTGAAAAATGGCAAGTATATTAGATTTAGAAGTTTCATAGGAAATGTATTATTATAGCCTGATAGAAACGTTAATACAGAGAATTAATCAAAAAATACCTATACTATAAAAATTTAAATAAAAAAATAATGATGATCCATGATGACCTGAAAGAGACCTCACTTGTGATAAGGTTATATGCATAAAAGTCAGCTCATGTATGATGTATCCCACCACCATTTATGTGAGAAATAGAAATAGAAAGAGAAAGAGAATGAGAACATTAACGTCTGAGAGAGAGAGAGAGAGAACAAGGAAAGAGGACAAGGGGTAGCAGTTGAAACTTTTGTAGCAATGGAATGGAAGCGTGTCTATTGTCAGCATATTGTCAACGGTTTTGTCATACAAAACAGCAATGTTATGTATAAAAAAATAACATAAAAAAAATTTAAAATATATGAATCAAATTTATTTTAAATGTAAATCATATAAAATTGAGAAAACTCAAACCCAAGCCGGTTTCTAAAAACTGGCTTCTGTTTTGAGCCCCCCTTGTTTTCCTGTTTCTGAAAACTGACTTCTGTTTTGAGTCCCACTTGTTTTAAATCTCCTATAAATACATCATTCTCTTCTCAAAATTCCCACTTCATCCCAGTCTTGGTTTCAGTCTCTCTCTCTCTTGAAGAACAAGGTTAGTAACACATTTCCTAAACCCTCTCTCTCTCTCTCTCTTGTTGACATACATGGAACATACATATGTATTGTTACAGTTTAACAGGTATATATAGTGAGGGAGAAGATATGTCTCCTACAATGGCGATAATAGTTGAGACAAGGAAGGAGGATGATGAGTTAGAAAGCCAATATCAGAAAGGTGTGAAGCATTTGTCAGATAATGGGATTGAAAAACTTCCAAATAAGTACATACTGCCTGTTTCGGAGAGGCCTAATTTATTATTAATCAAGGAATTAGCATATGCATGCAAGCACAACAACCTTACGTTGCCAGTCATTGATTTTGCTGAGTTGCAAGGTCCCAATCGCTCCCAAGCCCTCAACTCCCTTGCAAATGCTTGTGAACACTATGGATTTTTTCAGGTGGGTTCCCAACTCCCTAGTTTTAGATTTTCTATCAGCAAAACGAAACATTTATTGATGAAAATTCAATGTAAAAACAAACACCAATACTAACATCAATCAAGAAGAGATAAGTGCAATAAATATCCTAAGAACGCTATCCAAGTTTTAGATAATTTAACCTTTGACAATGATTTACATTTATCATGGCAAACCTATGGAAATTAATGCTAGTTAGAATTATTGTCGTCATGAAAACTTAAAAAAATTACTTTTATGACAAAATTTTGAAAAATATCATCCATAAATGCTCTTTAAAGAATAAAATAGTTTGATGCCTAAAGGTTTATTTTTGGGGATAATTTAGATTTTGCCCCCATTATATTTGATCACTTTCCCACTTTGATCTTTCATATGTCAAGTTTTTTTTTCATTTTATTCCTAAAACTAATTTATATTCAAAATTGGATAGAAAATGTCACAATAACTGTCATATAATATAAAAAATATATTATTATGCTAGAATTTAAATTTATGTCAGAGTTATGAGTTATATATAATAAAATATTTTTTTGACACATGGCTGTCAATGCGTCATTTTCTATCTAATTTTGAACATAAATTAGTTTTAGGAGTAAAATAGAAAAATTTTGAAACATAAAAGGGTCAAAATGAAAAAAATAAAAAATAAATAAAATAAAATAAAATTAAAGACTAAAGTGAGAAAGTAACCAAACATAAAAGGGATAAAATGTAATTTACCACTAATTTTTTAAACAAAAATTTTAATCTCAAATGGATAGTATTAATTCATCACTAAATATTTAATTTCGTTACTAAAAATATATTAATGATACTTTTGACAATTAAAATATTTTCTCACAAAAAAGTAATTTCGTTTTTTTTTTTTTTAATCTTAATTTGTTACACCAATTAAATTTGAAGGTTTTTTTTATTATTATTTTTAACCCACCTCTTACGTAGTAGGATCATGCGTTTGTTGTGTAGACCAATGAGGAGGTGAATTGTGATGACAAATGTCATTTTTTTTTTTATTTCAAAATACAAAAAATATCATAACCTTCCTAATTTTGGAAGGGTTTCACACGTAACATATTTACTGTCTTTCCAAAAAGTCTATGTACACAGATAGTACCGAACACAAAATATATATATACATAAGATAAGATAAGATATTCATATTTATATACACGAACATTTTGAGTTATATTTATTTTGTGAAATTCGTTGTGTATGTATAGTGGTGTTGATATTGTGATATTGATGATGATGAGAGAGTGTTTTTTTTTTTATGGAAATTAATGGTGCAGCTAGTAAATCATGGAATTCATAGTGAAGTGATGAGGAGGATGATGGAAGTGAGTGAAAGGTTCTTTGAGCTGCCATTTGAGGAAAGAGAGAAGTACATGAGCTCAAATATGTACGCCCCAGTTCGTTATGGAACAAGCTTTAACCAAACAAAAGATGGTGTCTTTAGTTGGAGAGACTTTTTGAAGCTAATGTGTCATCCCTTACCAGACATGCTTCCTCATTGGCCTTCTTCTCCCTTGGACTTTAGGTGAGAATTCATTCATTTATCAACAACAAATACTTAATTACTCTCTCTCTCTCTCTCTTTCTCTCACACACACACACACACACCAGCTGTATGCCTTGAGCCTGAGGTTGGGGGTTAATTTATTCCATATTCTCAAATAATTCATGTTAATATAAGGATATATTAGTTATTTGGGGGCAAAATAATTATTTTGGAATGAGCTGTTGTCACGCAACTCCAATTGAGCTGCCAAATTTCATCCTAAAACCAAATTTTGCCAATTGAGTAAGCGCTCGTCTGGGAATTAATTATTTTAGTTGATTTTATAATTTTTTATAAAATAAATAAATAAATAAAGAAATAAAAATAATGATATGACAATTTGTAATAATTTTTTGGTTAAAACCCACATTTCCAAACAAGGCCTAAACAAAAGCCAAACCCTCTCTAATATAGAGGGTTTAACCAAAAAGTAAGTAGGTTAACATGAATAGTTTTGTTAATGAGTGTCCTTAAAGTATTTGATAATAAACTTGAAATATTCGTACATACTACACGGCACGTACAATATACAATATACAATCAATTTAAACATTATTAACCAATGCCTTTAACACACTCGTTAACCAAACTCATTTATGAATAAATTATTGTGTCATTAGTACAATAGTTTTGTTTTGTACTTGTCTATGAATATATTATATATCAATCTAAGTAATTAGGGATTTTAATTGGTTTGTCTCACTATTGAAAAACAGGAAATTGGCGGTTACCTACGCAAATGAAAACAAATACTTATTCCTGAAGTTAATGGAAGCCATTGAAGAGAGCCTTGGACTAACAACAACAACCACCAAGAACAAGAAGACAGATGATAGTGATGGTGATGGTGATGGTGATGGTGATGGTGATGATATTTTAGAAGAACTGAAAGATGGAAGCCAGCTAATGGTAGTCAACTGCTACCCACCATGCCCAGAACCCCATTTGACACTGGGAATGCCGCCTCACTCTGACTATGGCTTCCTCACTCTTCTTCTTCAAGATGAGGTTCCAGGTCTCCAGATTCAGTTCCAACAAAAATGGCTCACCATTGAACCCATCCCCAATTCTTTCGTCGTCAACGTGGGCGATCACCTTGAGGTCTGTTTCTCATTCTCAATTCAAAATCCCAACAAGATTCCATACCATTAGCTTTACTTATTAGAATATATGGTTCTAAAATAGTAGTAATGGAAATACAGAATATATGGTTCTAAAATAGTAGTAATGGAAATACAAATCAGTACTAGTTGTGATATAGCAGTATTGTAAGTATTGAGTTGATAACCTCCTGATACCAATACACTCTTGTATGACTCTGGTATGATGTGAGGAATAAAAATTGCATGTGTACCGGTTGATTGGTGATATTTATCATGTCATAGTCAATTCAGGACCAATTCATAGCAATATGGGGGAAATTCACAATGGCATCATCTAATTTTTTATAAATACTGATACTCTCAATATTGTTACATCACTACCAATATTATCATTTAAAACCTTTGAATGATACATATCAAGAATCTGGTAATGTGATGGAGAAGCCCCAAAATGTTTTAAAACTTTACTGATATGTGTCGACTGATTCGTATAGAAGTTGATTAAAATACTCAAAATTTAAACTATGATACTAATACATATCGATTCATATGAATTTGAAATCAATAGACATTAATATATTTGTGAGAAATTGGCCGATTCAATATGGATATTTAGAACTCTTTTTTATATTTAATTATGTATACTAATAAGATTGTATACTAATAAGATGATTATTTCGTGCTTAATTTTGTGACAGATATTTAGCAATGGAAGGTACAAAAGTGTGTTACATAGAGCTATAGTGAACCCTACAAAGTCAAGGATTTCTGTGGCTTCTTTGCACAGTGTTCCTCTCAAGACTATTCTAAGGCCATCCCCAAAACTCATCACTAAAGCAAATCCAAGGCGTTACATGGACACTGATTTTGCTACTTTCCTCCAGTATGTTTCATCTTGTGAGCCCAAGACCAAGAATTTCCTTGATTCTAGGAAATTAAATGGATAAGCATATGTACTTTGACTTTTGTAGCATTAATTCCATTAGTTTGTGTAAGAGGAAGTGTAGCATTATGAAAGCTTTTGCATTAGTTTCATCTATGCATTTCCATCTCATTCTGAATTGTAGGGGTTGTTTGGGAATGCACTAAATAAGTGCACTTATTTGATAAGTACATTTATTTAGGTCACATAATTTTTCTATTTCTTTAAATATTTTTTTGTAAAAAATCAAAAAAAAATATTAAATAAACAAATCCCAAACAACCTATAATTATTTGTCTTTTCTCTTCCTAAGCCATTTATGTAGCTTATGTTAAAATCTTCCTAAGCCAGAGTGTGACCTACACGATTTAGATCTTGTTGCTGAGGTTAGAGATCTTGATGACTCAGAAAAAGCTAGAAGAAGGGAGGTCAAAGGTGAGGTGTAGAGACTGAGCAAAATGGTGGAGAGAATGTAGCTACGAAGTTAAGAATGAATTGGGCTATGAAGGGAGATAAGAATACAAGATTTTTTCATATTATGACGAAATGTAGGCAAACAAGGAATGAAATCAACTCAATTACAGAGGGAGATGTGGTATATGAAGAACCTTGTCATGTGAAGAGAAAAGTATTTGAGCATTTCAAAGATCATTTTGCTGAGGACTGGGAAGTGAGACCTGAACTAGGAGGGTCCTTCAAATTAGTACAAGGAAGTTGTGGTTTTAAAATGCTGGAAGCAGTGTTACAGAAACTAAGATTAAGGTTGCAGTGATGGAATGTTATGGGAACAAAGCACCAGGGCCAGATGGTTTTAATATGGGTTTCAGTTGCTCTCCCAAAATGATTGGAAGTTATCATGTAAAAACAATGCATTCTGTACCCTAAAAGGTTTAGGACCCCAGTCCCTTTCATCCTTCATCAGTAGGAGGGGACTGTGATCAGATATCAACCTTGGCAGTCCCCAAAGTTTCAATTTGAAAACCTTAAGCCACTTTGGATCTACTAACACTCTGTTAATTTTACTCCACTTTTCACCTTCTCTTAAATTGCAAACTTCCTTCCAAACAATGGACCACCAGCTACTGTTATGGTGGGCAGGAGGGAAGATGAAAAAGATGAAAAGGAAGATTTGGAGTGCTATCCCACTGGCTGTATTGCGGTCAATTTGGAAACTTAGAAACGAATGCATCTTCAAATCATCTACTCTAAATAAAGCTGAGTTATGTGAGTTGATTAAGATCAGGTTAGCTTTGTGGTCGAGTCCACACTTGAAGGGATGTGGCTTTCATTTTTTAATCAATGATTTCATCTTTAATTTGAGTCAGATTAGGTTGTGTTTGGGAGGAGCTTTGGTGTTTTGAGTTGGGTGGAGCTTTCTTGTATTGTGGCTGTGTAGCTCGGATTGTTTTTGCTTTGTTGGTGTCATGTTTGTTTGTTGGTGTCTCTCACCAACTTGGGGCTGTGCTAGCATATGATTAGATAGTCTTCACGGTACCAATATAGTTGGGATGGTGCAGGCCTATTGTGATACTCTTTGCACTTTCTCCTATCTGTCGATGTAATCTTTATGGTTGTACATTTTTTCATCAATGGATTTTTCTTTGGCTGATCAAAAAAAAAAAAAAAAAAAATGTAGCTTATGTTAAAAATTTGTATCCATCTATTCAAAATCAATAAGTGAGGGGACTTAAGGGTGGTAAAATAGGGACGGTTAAGGCCTTGTTTGGGAAGTTGATTATTTTAGTTGGTTATTTAGCTTTTTAGCTATTTTAATCTAACTAAAATAGTTGTGTTTGAGATTTTGTTTAAATTTTTTTTTTTTTTTTTTTTTTTTTGTAATTGATTTGATGGTTGTGAGAAAAAAAAAAGTAAAATAATTATGAGTTGGATGTGACATTTTGTGTTATTGATTATTATAGCCTATGTTGTCTTTTAGTAGGTTATTTTAGCCCAATTCTCTTCCCAAACACCCCCTAAGGGGGTAAACATGGTGATAGTAAATTGATGCAAAATTAGCTTATCCTAATTGAAAATTTAAATTTAATAAAATTAGAAAATGAGGAGAGTTAATTGTTGTAAAGTGTGATTTTTTTTTTTTTTATCAATCAATAGCAAAGTAATTACAATTTTATGAGAAATATTTATATCATCAAACAGACTACTAGTCTACAATAGTTAAAAAGTCAAAATGTATCAAATTTCTTTTCATAGAAGTTGAACCCGATAGTAGAGTAATTATAATTTTATGAAAAATATTTATATCATCAAACAGACTACTAGTCTACAATAGTTAGAAAGTAAAAATGTATCAAATTTCTTTTCATAGAAGTTGAAGCCGATAGTAGACTAATTACAATTTTATAAAAAAATATTTATATCATCAAACAGACTACTAATCTACAATAGTTAGAAAGTTAAACTGTATCAAATTACTTTTGATAGAAGTTAAACCTAAGATTTCACACTACAGCACTACAAATGATGTTACACAACCACTTATGGTTGTAAAGTGTAAGTAGTTTATGAAAAAAGTGACATTTGACAATAATGGCCATATTTGTGTGGACAAACTAAATAAGGAAGGATTGTAATCTATCAAATTATTAATCCTGAGATATATATATATATATAGTCCCTGGACTATTTAGTTAGAAAGAATGTGCATTTCATGTTTGTTTTTTTATGAGATTAGATATTTGGAAATGACTACCCTATTGAATCTAATGTTTGATTGGAATATTATGAAAAATGATAAATACTCAATAGACTATTTTACCATTTTCAATTGTTTACTAAGTAATAGCAATACTAAATCTGTCTTTCATATTTTAATTTTTTTTGGCTACATTAAATAAAAAATTATTTTATTTTATTTTATTTTTTAAAAATTAAATAAATAAAACATTAATAAAAATTTATGTTATTTTTAAAATAAAATTTAAAATAAATTTATTTTTAAAAAAATAAATATTAAATAATGAAATTAAATAAAAATCAATAAAAATTAAATAAAATATCAACAAAAATTTTAAATACAACATCTATAAAAATTTATATAAAAAATTAAATAAATAAACATCAATAAAAATTATTTTATTTTATTTTAAAATACAATAAATAATGAAATCAAATACTTAGAGAGCAAATGTATCATTTTGCAACTTAATCCCACCATTTCTATCTCACATACCCTAGGACATAATAGTCCATCATATATGAAATTCATAGTCTGGTGGGACTTCCTATAATATTCCTAACATTTCATCTAGAGCCAAACACACTCCTATGTTAAATTTCATTTAGGATATCTAAACCCAACTCCAAACCTGATAGTAGGTGTGACCAAACACCTCATTTCAACAAAAAAAAAAAAAAAAGGGCAGATTTTTTTTTTTATTTTTTCTTCTTCTTCATTGTCTTCATTCATCCTTCTCTAACTTCTCTCTACATTCTCTCTCATTTTTCCTTTACCTTCTTGGTGGCCAAACACCACACCCTTGCTCCACCCTTACACCACCACCTTAACCCACCATCTCCACCACCGCTGGCCACCTTATCTCGCCGGAAAAAGGGTCCGATCGGCCACTCCTTAAATCCATCCGAAAATAGCACAATAGAAGTACCAATTCTAGATTTTTCTTAATCTTTTGAAGAATCAAAGCATGGGGTTTATTTTCTTGATGGATTAGAGGCTTGTAATTGATAAGAATCTTTCTCTAAAAGTTTAGTTTAAAGTTTTACATATTTTGAGTTAGAGATGATGAAATTTTTTTGTATTTTAGATCTATTATGATTTGGGGTTTTATTGTTGAATTTTATACTCTCAATTAGTTTCTATGAATGTTTTACATGTTGGAAAATGATCAATTTGATGGTTGTTTTGGAGATTATGATTTTGGGTTAATCTAGGGTTTGAATGTGATGTAAAAATTTGGAATTTTGGTGTTAGGAAATTTATATGTTGAAATTGATTTGATAAATGGTGGATTGGGTATCTCTATGTTCTATGGAGGAATTTTATAAATGATTGAAGAGATTTTACTTAAGTTGTTGAGTTTCTAAAAAATGTTGATTTTTGACTTTTGTAGTTAATTGATGGTGTTATTGTGCATATAAATTGATTGGATATTTAAAAAGTTACTAACTCAAAGATGTACAAAGGATGGGTGTTGTGGAGATTGGATAAGTTATTTGTTTGGGTGACTTGAAGTTGGAGGAGTTCTTTAGCTTATTATTCCTTAGCATAATTTATTTAGGATCATTTTTGTAGATGTTGTAATTTTTCATTGAAAGCTTTTTCCTAATTTTAGGTCCTATTTTATTAATTGTTAGGATTTGAGGAAGACGTCTCTACACCTCTTGGAAATTAATTTGTAGAGTCTCAATCTACATTTTTGCTATTTTTGAAGGTGAGTATACTTACCATGGAAATTACCTTACCTCTATCTTTATTACAAAGTTTGAAGATAATTTTGAATTAAATGAAGCGAATGATACATTTCATCATGATATATGTATAAAAAGAAAAATCTATAGATCTATAAATCTATTGAGGCCAATGGTTGAGTTTAAATAAACATATGATTTCATTTGTATAATGAAGCACTAATTTTTATGAGAATTTATTTAACTTGAGTCCTTCAAATTTTATGATGATGATGATTGAATGACAATGAAACGCTATTTGAGAGTATTTATTTTATTGATCATATAACCGAATATAGCCTTCGGGGCCACAAGGGCCAAAATGCTTTGGGGTCCTGGGGACCGAAATGTTTTAAGGACCATAAGGGTCGTTGTATGGATAAGGGGTCCCGGGGACCGAAACATTGAAACAAGAATTGAAGTGCTACGATGACATGAGTTATGTTCCTATGGTTATGTTTTGGGTAACGGTACCGTCACCACCTAATCGCGAGGTAACGCGACCCTAAGGCTATGTAGTGGTTCGTATGATGGACATGAGATCTTAATGTATTGAAAAGTTGTATTTTTGTTTACTTTCATTATTCAAATGTATATTTTTTTTTTCTGCCTTATGAGATTCCTTGGAAAAATCTTGATAACGTTTTATGAAAATTATATTTCAGCTTTTTTTTTTATTTTGTATAAATTTCAGTCCAATTAAGCTCTTATGTT